ACCAGGCGCTCCTTGGAAACCCTTATGGGGCAGTTCTACTCTGTCTTATGAGTCAGAATCAACTCAACGGCAATGGGTTTTTTTTTTTCCCTTGGGTGGCCAGCTCCTTATTATGCAGATCTCTGCTTAGACCTCACCCTGTCACAAAGGCACTATCTGTTCTATCTCCCTGTTTTGTTTGCGTCAAAGCTGTTAATAACATCAGAAATTAATTATCTTGTTTGCTCATGAGTCTTTCTCTCTCCCACACTGAAGGCAGGGAGTTTTGTGTTGTTCATGGCTGTGTCCCCAGCACCTAGCACAGGCTGGGCACACAGTAGACCTCCTGATTCCCAGTGCCTGCCCCCTCCTCAGAGTCAAGCACCCCTTTTGTTCCAGGGTCTGGAGATGCCTTAACGTCAGTCCACCCCCAAGAAGCTATCCTGCCCCGAGGAGGCTCCGTGCAAGTGAATTGTAGTACTACCTGTGACCAACCCTTCCATCTGGGCCTGGAGACACTGTTGGCCAAGACAGAGGTTGCTAAGGGGGACAAGTGGAAGGTCTTCGAACTGAGTAATGTGCAAGAAGACACTAACCTGCTGTGCTTCTCATCCTGTGCCAGTGAACCCCAGACAGTGGCTTCAACTTCCCTCACCGTGTACCGTGAGTGGCTGGCCTGGGGGCTGGACTAGGCAGACTGGGGAGGGGGTGGACAGAGGCTGCTTTGTTGCTTGGTGGTGGCAGTGGGAAGGGTATCACTAAAGAGTGATGGGGACATCCTTGGAAAGTCCCAATGTCATTCGGAAGCCCCTCTTTGAACTTCCTTGAGTGTACGTAGGACATAGGGACGTATTTGGCACACTCCAGAGAACTGGCTCTATGCCTCACTCTTGAAGCACATACATGACAAGGCCCTGGATCTGCGTCTTAAAAAGAACATGCAGATGAAAACTACCCCTGAGATGGCATCTTTCACATATTGGCAACAATCGAAGAATTGATCATAGCTGTGCTGGCAAGGCTGTGGGGAAACAGGCACCCCTGGGACATTGCTAGTGGGGGAGGAGATAAGCACATCCCTGTGGCAGGGGATTTGGTGTCAGTTCTCAAAATGACACATGCATGTGTCCTTTGACACAGAAATCCCACTCCTGGGAATTTGTCCTACAAATGCCCGTCCGTGTCCGCAAGGGACTGGTGGGAGGATGAGGTTGTTCACTGGTGCTTTCTTTGGAAGGGCAACAGTTTGCAAACCACTCAAATCTAGGGGCTATGGAAATCATCTGTGGTTTGGCCATAAAGTGGAATAGTATGCAACCATATAAAAGAATGATGAAACTCCTTATGAACCGAAAGCAGGTGGGCTCCAAGGTGGCGTGTAGAGTGCAAAAGAAGTAAGTAGGCCCCTGGGTGGTGCAAACAGTTTGCGCTCAACTACTAACCAAAAAGTTGGCAGTGTGAATCCACCCAGTGGTGTGGAAGAAAGGCCTGGTGATCTGCTTCCATAAAGATTACAGCCAACAAAACCCTATGGAGCAGTTCAAGTCTGTCACACATGGGGTCACCATGAGTCATAATCGACTCAACGGCAACAGGTTTGGTTTTTGGTTTAAGGTATGCCCAGTATGAGCGGAATGCTGCCCTCTGTGCTAAGGAGAGAGGGGGGCAGGCTGTGTTTATATACCAAAGAGTCATGAACAGAAACATAAGACGTGGCACAGTACTAGTTGGCTGTGAGAAAAGAAGCCAGGGGGCTGGGGAGAGGGCAGGGGGTAACTTCCCTGTGTGCCCTTTTCTACTTCGGGGATTTTGAACTGTGAGAATGAGTTACCAAGGTCAAAATAAATAGATATAATTCAAATTTTTAAAAAGGAAGGAAGAGGGAGAGAGAAAGAGAAAGGAAGAGAGGGAACTGACCTTGGAATTAGACAGCCTTGGGTTGTCACTAGCCGGGTGATGATGGGGACACGGCTTCTCCATTTCCTTCTCCATCATGTGAGACCTCTGAGAATGGCTATAATGATGTAGTGGGGCGCAAAGCTGCTCCACAGTCCCAGCGTCTGGGCAGAGGAAGCCTTTGGGCAAATACTGGCTTTGCTTCCGACTTAGGGGTGTTTGAGCAGATGCTGGTCACCCTCCCAGCGAGGGAAGTCCCCAGACATGCCTGGTGGCCTCTGAAAACCCCTTTGGTGAGCTGGGGAAACTTCTAGAAGGCCTCGAACAAAGAGTGTGGTGATTGAGATGCCACACTCTGGGTCTGAGTCCTGACTCTCCCACCTTTCTCCCTCAGCGGCTGTATGCACGACCTTGCCTTAGTTGCCTTGTCTGTGAAATGGAGCAGATGGCTGGCACACAGTAGCAAGGGAGTAAAAGGTGGGCGGGGCACCTAGGATAGGCTTTAGCTTGGCTCTGCCCAACCCGGCATGTAAAGATGAGGGTACAACAGTTAAGTGCTCAGCTGGCTAACCAAAAAGTTTACAGTTCGAACCCACCCAGTGGCTCCATGGGAGAAAGACCTGGCAATCTGCTCCCATAAAGATTGCAGCCGAGAAGACCCTATGAGGCAGTTCTACTCTGTCATGTGGGATCACGCACCCATGTGCTGTTTAAGGTCAACCTACTTATAACAATAATTAGAAATGATTGCAAAAATCAACAAATAAAGATGAGGGAGCATTCCTGGATGGCTGAGGCATCTCTGTAAAGGTTAGAGGTGTCATTCCTGGAGGAGGTGACCCCTATCTGAGCCTTTGAAGGATGTGTAGGAGTTCGTAAAGACAGGCATTCTGGGCAGAGGAAATAGCCTAGAGTGAGGGGGGGAAGAAAAGGTCTAGAGTGAGGAAACATCCTGATTGGCGGGGGGGGCAAGAGGGTTTGGTGAACTTAAGTAGGGTGGCTGGAGGTATGACTTGAGGTTGGCAGGTCCTTGAATGCCAGGCCAAGGAGCTGGGACCTTCTCCTTCCCTGGGCACTGGGGAGCCATGGAAAGTGTGTGAGCAGGCTAGGGATCTAGAAATCGGAAGGCTGGACTTACGGGAGGCCAGGAAGCAGTTGGCCATGAGCCTTGACCAGGCCACATGCAAGAAGGGAGGGGCAGACAAATATCTGGAGAGTGGAACCGAAGGACTTGGTGAAGGGCCAGAGGAGGAGGGGAGGGAAAATTGGAACAGGCCTCTCCTCCCAGTTCCTAGCCTAGGTCTTCAAGGCAGGGAGCTGGGCTCAGGGAGCTGCTGGATTCCATTTGGGGGCTCCGGTTTGAGCAGGCTGTTAGAGATAAGAACCAGACGTCTGGGAGTTTTCTCAGCCTTTTTTTTTTTTTAAACAACTTTTTTTGTGTATAATTTACATACCGTAACATTCACCCATTTCAAGGGTACAGTTAAATGAATTTTAGTGGCATGTACCAAGCTGACAACCAGCACCACAGTCTAACTTTAGAATGTTTCCTGTTACCCCAAGAAGAAACCTCCTGCCCATTTATAGTCATTCTTTCAGCCTCTTAAGTGGATTAATAATAGTCCTACCTCTAATAGCCCCATTTTACAGCTTAAGAAACTGAGGCTCAGGCATTGTCACTTGCCTGCAGCCCACATAAAAGAATCAGCAAGGCTGGGAACAAAACCCAGGCCCATCTGGCTCCTGACATTTTAGCAGCAATGCGTTAGTATTTCAGGGCCTCTTGGAAAGGGAATAGGGAGCAGAAATCCTTGAGACCCCTCCCTAGGGAAACTGGAGGGCTCATCAGGGCTCTGTTATGAATTTGCACTGGTACTTTGGGCTTGGAATCCTGTGACCTTGCATGGAATGGAGACTGGCCTGGAAAAATGGAGCCCACCAGTTGTGTAAGGGGATGTTGAGAGTTTCACTTTCAGCATCTGTGGGTTGTTTTCAATAATCAAAAGGGTCATATGCACATTTGGTAAATTTTTTTTTCCCTTAAAGGTGGGCTGCTGAGAAGGCCTCAGGTCAGTGCAGATGGCTCAAACTCATTCTTTGTACAAATATAGAGCACCTACTGTGTGCCCGGCATAACAGGGAACAAAACAGACAAAAACTCCACCCTGCTGGGGCAGACATTCCATGGTGGAAATAGAGAAGCCAGTTCGCTGAGTAGATTGATTATCTTATGTGTTAGCAGGTAATGGGTGCTGTGGAGAAGAAGAGGAGGCAGGGATCTTTTTAAACAATGCCTAGTGGACCTGGCCGCTTAAATTTCCCGTATTTATCTCACCAAACGGACCCTTGGTGGTAGACTTTAAGGTTCTTCCGTGTCGTTCACTGTAAGATACTGCAGTGAATAGACTGTTTTGTTCCCTTCACAAACACTTGAGGCCTTCTCACTGGTTTCCCTGAAGCTCTTCACATTCCTATCTGGCTTAGGTGGTGGGGCGTGTTGAGGAGGGAGCTAGAGAGTGGAGAGGCTGCCAGGGCAGGTGCGGCCTATGCCCCAGCGTCCCCTGCCGGCTGAGAGCACAGTCCAGCTCACCGACACCCCCACTCTCCACAGAGCTCCCGGAGCGCATGGAGCTGGCGCCCCTGCCCCCCTGGCAGCCCGTGGGCGACAACTTCACTCTGCGCTGCCAGGTGTGGGGCGGAGCGCCCCGGGCCAACCTCACCGTGGTGCTGCTCCGCGGG